GGGGAAGGGGGACCTTCTCCAAGTCTCCTCAGAAGAGAAGACGAGCATGAAGAGGTCAGGATATGGAGTTTCTGTGCTTTTCATGGATAAACGAAGTGAGGAGTTTTTATGAATGAACCTTATCCTAACATCCCCATGACGGGATTTAGAGCAGACCTCTGTGGTTCAGAGAAAAGAAGCCTTGCCTACTGACTCACTCAGCTTTATGCCGATCAAAGAGGGTGTTGATCTAAAAAAAATTTAAACTGACTAGTTACACTGGCTTCAGATTAGACAATTTAGCCGAAACACTAAGACATCATACTGTGAAGTTTATCATCATGCTGTTTTGTTTCATTTGGGGATAGTTTATCACTGCTGGCTCATTTGGTGAACAAGTTAAGCCAGCTGTCTGTGATTCCTCGCTTAAACATATTTGTCTCTCAAAGGAAATTTGGGACCGAGTTGTTCCAAGCACTCCATGTTCCATCATAGAGCCATTAGCTTCTAATGGTATAATGAGAACAACTCGAAAGAAACAAGAATAAAATGCAATTGTGCTGTCAGGATAATGGGGTCCAGAGGAATCACAGTGTCACTATATAGGATTAGAAAAGAATATTGAGCAACATACAAAATTGAACCTCTGGGGTTTGTCTGAACCAATTTTTTGGATTCTTTACAACAGAGACCAGAGGAAACTTGCAAAAAACGAATTAGATCACTGGTGGTTAAAAGGACAAAAAGACACAAACCTTGCTAAGTTCAGTCGGAATCTTACTAGCCAATTTTCCAGCTGATTTTCATTTATAAGGTTCATTTGCATAGTCGCTGAAGAATCAAGAGACAGGGTGTTGCTCTCAGCGGTTGGGTCTTAACCCTCAGTTAATGGCCCTGCTGACTCAAAACAACTTCTGGACTGCCTGAAAATATTGTTTGGTTGGTGAGTCACGCTCATGGCCTTGGGGGTGACTACTGAAGATCTTCTCTGTCAGATCTGGTTATTTCGACAATTTGTGTTAGGGAATCAGAGAAAAATATTAAAGGCAGTTGGCTAATGGCATTGAGATTTTGGCAAAAATGGCGGTAGGTGTGATACTCCAGACCAAAATTGTTTTGAGTTGGCTAGTAAGTTCACATACCTTTTGATGCTAGTCCACAGCTGTTGCAAGAGTCAAATAAGTTTTTTAATAGGGCCTTCCCAACAGCTTGGCAGGAAATGTTCAATTAAATGATTTTGTGTCATAAGCTGACATTTAAGCAAGTACATTCAGATCAAACGTTATATTTTGAAATCGGTTTTCCTTCCTCTGAACCTGCAAGATCGTTGAAGCTATTCAAACAAGTCCGTCCATAAGGTTCATTCAATTCTCAGAGTTCACAGCACAGGAAGCAAATGGAAAGGGTACATGCATGCTCACGCCACGACCTCACCCGGTGGGGTGTGTCCGGGCGGGGCAACCAGGCAACAGGAAACAGAATGACAGACAGAGATCTCTACCTGAGCACCTCTGAGAGAGAGGAGTCGCTGTCATCCGACCTATAGGGCAGAACGGCAGTTGGGTTAGGGGAAGGTGGGAAGAGTCAGTAGAAGACAGAGAGGGAGGGGGAGGAGCCTTCCAGGAAGCAGGCGGGAGCAGGGGGTGGGGCTAGACCAAAGGGGAGGAGTTAGCATGAATATTATGCAAAGTTCATTGGGTGGGGTTACTGGTATAAGACACAATGTTAACAGGAAGAGCCCACTCCAAACCTTAGCTCTGATCCATATTTACAAGCCTCACAGTGATGTATTCCCAGAGCTTGTGTTGTTGTAATGGATGCTTCACTTCTTAATTCACTCACTTATTTTTATTTGTGACTCTCATGACCAATAAAAAAGACCAGCGTTTTAGTGAGATGTATTATCAACACAATTTTTTCATTTGGGCAGCATCTCCTATTGAAACACTATAGCGCTCTAGGCTAAATAGCTCTCACTATTCACAGACACAATATAGAAGTACATGAGATTCAAAGCTGCACGTGCCAATCATCACTCGCACGTTATACTAAGTGCATTAATTTGAACTTGGATGATTGTTGATGTGCAGAGAATGAAATATGAATGATATACAAACGTGGTTTTCTTTCAGAAAACAGAAATAGTTTTGAAAATATTTTGTTGTTAAAACTATTTTAGTATTTTGAAGTGGAGAAAACGTAAAACCAGGGTAGAACATAGTATTAAGCTCTATCGTCAATATCTATGAGCTGCAATCGATTATTATGGAAATTTATGTTTGTCAAAAACAAAAATAGCTTTTAAAAATGCATTTATAAGACATTGCCTTGGAATAAATGTTAAAAAGCACAACAGCATTGACATAAAACTTAAATATTATGTGATTTAAGACGTGACTAAAGTGTCAAACTCACTAAACATGTCTGTGCAGATTGACATCCAATTTTTTAACTCCATATAAACTACACTACCATTCAAAAGTTTAGGTTCAGTAAGATTTTACTTGTTTTTAAAGAACTGAACGAATGAATGAATACCTTCATACTGCATACTTTTATGAATACACAGCAGACACATTAAACAGTAGGGATGCACGATATATCGGCCACCATATCGGTATCGGCCAATAAATGCTCATTTTTTCTGTTATCGGTATCGGCCTGATAAGAAAATTTGGCCGATATCTTAAAGCCGATAAATAATGCATTATTTCCTTCAGAGACACTTCAGATGCGCGCTGTTCGTTTGCAGCCTTTTGTGCAATTGTACGTTGTAATATTGTGTTTATTTGATGTATATCTGATTTATCTCATATAGAATGCGTTTGGTTAAGTTAAAAGAGCGCTTCAGTTTACCGGTGATCATCTTTAGCTCAGCACACGCAGCTCAAACAGCAGTGCACAACATTAATAACTATGATTGGGAATGTCGTGTATATAACATTCTAATGAGAACATTATTATAATAAAACGTTGTGAATTCTATGGGTTTAGTTGTTGTGTTTCAGCGCGTTGTTATGGGAAGAGCGCATCCACAACAGGATCACACATTCTGACTATAGCATGCAATAACTGCGTCATTTGTCATTTCATATATAAGTTGTAATATTATGTTTATGTTGTATTAATATTAATCTCAGGATGCATTTCCTTGAGTTAAATAAGCTGCCAGCAAAACGCTTCAGTTTACCGTGTTCATTCAGCTCTTCAGCTTCAGCTTGAGCTGCAGCTCAATGGCTGCTATTTAAAACAGTGGTATTAATTTGTTACTTTTTCAAAATCATTGATATATTATTAATAACAACAACCACTTGTATTTTTCTCTTATTATTTTCATCAACAATATGGTTTAGTAATTAAAATCATTTAATTATTGTCCGTGCAGAGGCTATTCCGTTTTATTGATCTGTGGCGCATTCATTTTGATTCTTTACACGTGTAATGATGTCCAGTGACTTGTTTGCATTATTTATGCATAATTTTATTTATTTGTAAGGCTTTTTTATGACTAAATTTGGTAATGGGAGAGTAAAAATATTTTTAAAACGTACACCGTTCAAACAAGGCTGCTTATGTTGAAGTGTTTGGGATGTGGCTTTTAATGATGAGACCTTTTTTGTAATCAGGCTCTCAAAAAGTATATAACAATTTGGATATAGATTTATCGGCCAACATATCGGTTATCGGCTTTCAAAAATAAAGAATAATCGGCTATCGGTATCGGCCAAAATTTTCATATTGGTGCATCCCTATTAAACAGATACATTAAACTGATCAAAAGTGACAGAATAGAAATTTATAATGTTACAAAATACTTATATTTCAAATAAATGCTATTCTTTTGAAATGTCTATTCCTCTAAAAAAAAAAACATTTTAAGCAGCACAATAATAATAAGTGTCTCCTATCACAATGATTTCTGAAGGATCATGTGACACTGAAGACTGGAGTAATGATGGTGAAAATTTATAAAGATATATATTAAAATAGAATATAAAATATAGAATATAATATATCAAAATAGAAAACAGTATTTTCTATTTTTCTATTCAAATAAATGCTGCTTTGGTGAACATAAGAGACTTGACCCCAAACTTCTAGTATATGTGCCCTCAAGACAAATTTACAGATGTAACAGTTTTGTATGTAAACACTAATTTCATATCAAACTTCATATTACCAAATCTCAGGGGGTGTTCAGCCGTTAAACAAACTCGGCTTTATCAAAACAAGACTAGGTACAACTGCAGAATTATGGGCCACATCATTTTAAGAGCTTTCTCATTCTGAACAGGAACAAATTCATGTGACAAGATCACAGCCCCACCGATGAGGATCAACCCTGCTAAACACCTTCGAATTGCATATCTACGTGCGACGCTGGTCAATGAACTCAGATTCTTAGAGTTAAAAAAAACCAATATGAACCAGTCCCTCAGATCGCATCTGATTGGCTGAAATGTAAATGAAGTGTCAAGCATTATCGCAACTTTAAAGGCCAATTCACACTGCACCGACAAACGCCAACAGACACGTTGGCCGCAGGATTTTGAATTTTATGAAAAATAACGGTCATGTTCACACTGCCCCAACAGACACCAACAGACTTCAAGTCAGGGAGAGTTAACTAGGGGGAAAAATGGATGATCTTGTAACAACAATCAAAATTATACTGTTATTAATGTCTTTGGTAATATTGTAAGGCAGTTTTATTACAATAATAATATATTGTCAAATACATTTCCGTTGTGAAATTTCCCAAGCGCTGTAGCGATCGATCTGATCGCATTCCCCCTCGCGTTGCGGTTGGTATACTCAGCCACACCCACCGCATAACGCTCTGGCTGGCCTCTCCTCCCAAAGATCCAAAAACTGTTCCTCTTCCTGGTTTGTCCAAATTTTCCTAAGCGCGCCCAGCACCTACTGGCAGTCTTGCCTCATTATCATGGCAACGGTTCGTGGCCAGGTCAGATTACGTCAGAGTTTGTTGTAGTTTGTTGGAAAATCATATCACACTGCTCAGACAATCCACGACCCAACAAACGCCGATTAAACATGTTCAGTCGGGTTAAAACCAACTCCGACCAACGCCAACAAACGCCGACAGGTGTAACACACTGATCCAACAAACTCCGACAGACTAGTCTGTTGGCGTCTGTCGGCGTTTGTCGGTGCGGTGTGAACTGGCCTTAAGATATAGACTCAGACTAGAAGTAACGAAACTTACGACATGCTCACATGCTTATTTGAGAAACAGCATAATGAGAGTGTGACCAATTGACAGGTCACTTTGGTTCGCTGACACCAAGGTCTATTAATACTGGCCTGCATGAATCTCTTGCATCTGCTGTCCGGTTTTGTTATTCTGTTCTAACCGAAGCAAAGACTTAAAGGCCGTCAGGATTCCAATCTAATCAAGTCAGTCCCTCCCATTAGGGACCAATCAGTAATCAAGTGGAGAAGCGTCTCATGGGCGAAAATAATTAAGATCGCACTACAGCTTATAGACTGAGACGGGCGCAATGACTGTGACTGACACGCACAATAACAGGTGAGATTATTAATGTAAAAGTGCGTCAACATACATGAGTTCTAAACAAAAATAATTGGTAAAGAATGAGTTTTATTAGCACTGCATGATAACTGTCAAAGTTAATTCCCAGACAACGACTATTATAGACAGAATTGTTACATCTTTAAAAATACAGATAACTTGTGTGCCCATGCATGTTACTAGGGTGTTGTGATGTGGTTGCTAGGATGTTCAAACTGTTGCTATGCAATTACTAGACCAAGTCAAAAAAGCCTGTGTTATTCTGGTCCATAAATACTGCATGTGCATGCAGTTTAAGCCTAGAAAGGGGTCAAATTGACCCAATAGTGTGTCATTTTTTAAATATATTTTCCAAACGTATATGTTATTTGTAACTAACAGCATTTTGGAGTTACTTTGAAGCCTGAAGGTGCTTTATAAACAAAATTAAATTAAAAAAATGACCATTTTAATTCCTTAAAGGTCCCCTGAAATGCTTAGAAACACGCAGCGTTACTCTATGTGTTGACATCATTTTAACTGAAACAGGAAGACAGGGCGGGACATATCAAGCAGCCCCGCCCCTTTTTAAAATAGCCAATAGCGTTTGTTTATATATCACAGCTTGGGCAAAATGCGAATTTTGTCACTGTTTTGGAGCACACTGCCTTATAGATAACCTTAAGACTAACATATTGATACTAACACCCAAAAAACTTTAATTTTGATTTCATGGGGACTTTAATATTCTATTTTCTTCTTCATAAATCTTATACAGGTATATGAGCCTCAGCATGTACATATTTGTTGGTCATATGTTTAAAAAATATATATTTTTTTTGTATCACTACACGAGACTTCATAAATGGGGTCAGTATGAGCCCTATACATTTTTTACTCACCATGGTCAATTTACTCAATTATAGTTTTGTCAATAATAATAATTAATACCTAAAAACTTCATGTATTAGTCCATTTTGGTTTGTGTCTTTCAATTTCATATTTTGACAACACCACATATGAAGACAATTCAAAATGGTCAATGTATTTGCTACAGAATTGTATTGTAATTTGTAAGTTGCTACACTATATAGGCTAATTGATGAAATCGTCAGGGCAGCGCTGACAACACCTTTTTGTGCAAACTGCGTGACCGTAGTGTGCGTGTGCGAGCACGTGTGATTGCAGTAATTCCTGTGTGCTGTATAGGTACTGTATGCTAATTTCCGTTATTACAGTTAACTATGCGAAGTGATATGGAACTGTAATGCGGTCAAGAGAGCTGCCTGGAACTACGTTCGCCGTGCGTTTCCCTGAAAATAATTGCACACCTCAGAACGTTCGTCAGCCAATCAGATTCAAGCATTCAACGGCCCCCGTAGTATAAGTTTTGCTTCTCTTCAATAAGCTTGCAAGATCTGAGGCACAAATAGTGCAGGAAGGGTTACACTTAAGTTTAATACCATCAGGGGTTTGTTCGAATCCCCAATTCTAAGTATGAGCTACAGTAATAGTCATGCTCGCCTTAGCAAACAGCGTTAATTATGGTGATTTAACACAGAACACAAAATGACTGTGCTAAAGGTGGTTGTATGACTACGAACAGGATACCAAGCCAAACGCTGTAAACAAACTTCAGTATGGTGCGGCCTGGTAGAAATTACATTAAGAGAAATCTCCAGTCTGCTGCCATTTGTGTCCTACCCCACACTCACACACACACACACACACAAAAGGAGAATGCAATATTCAAGGGGTTGAAGAAATAATGAGATAAATCCCTGACAGGCGCATCAAATGACCAATTTAGATCTCTATGGCAATATCAGATGCTGCTGATTCAATTATGGAAGGAACGTGCAAACAAAACCCATCTTCAGAGGGTGGAATAATTGGTTATCCTACCCTAATGTGCGCACTTGTGGTGTTATAATGGGAATTCGCAGGAGCTGAAGAACTGACAGTAGCTTCTGCTGTCGACTTTGAGTTATACTAAGCATTTGACTGCAATTAGAGATCAATACTGCCTGCGGCAAATGTAGGGTTAAAGCTGAGGTACCGAACTAGTGGATTAAAATACTGTAATGAAGCACTCGAAGTAACCTGGCAGAAAGCAAAGTCCTTCACTTATAGCTGAAGGACAAAAACTAGCTTGGTGGAAAAGGAAAACAGTTAAATAAACCTAGAGAACATGTGGGCTCGTGCAAAATCCCATGCTCAGGTACAATGAGGAATTAAACCCTAAAGGTAAATCAGCCTCTGATGATTTTTTAACTAGATAATAAATAGTTCATGCCGTATGTGTGTGTTTGTGCGCAACTCACTTGTCGAGCGCTGAACCCTGACTCTGGTTGCTTGTCAGGCGGGAAAAGACGTTGCGGTCGTTACGTGTTCGGAGAGGAGGGGAAGAAGGAGGGGTGTAGCCTACATCTGGACTTCTGACATAAAAAAAATTTTTTTTTTTAAATACACACAAAAAACAGCATGTCTGATTAAAGGAAAGAGCTGGTACACACTTCACCTTTAAGTATGTTCAATTGTTGGTTTTCAGAATAGCTTATTACCGAAACATACTATTTCTGCAGTATATGTCAAGGTCAAATTTATTTGTATAGTAAAATTAAAATCAACATGTTGACCCAAGTGCTTTGCAGCAGTAAATGAAGAGCCATAGTACAATAATAACAAAATAAAAAAGTAAAATGAAAAGAACTAAAATAGAAAGAGTAAACACTACAACCATAACACATTTAAAATTAGATATTTATATTAACTAAATAGACACATATTGTATTATAATTGTATAATAACAATAATAAAAAACTATAAATCCATCAAGGGACCATCTTCGTACATTTTCATTTATAAATGCAAATTTATACTAAATATTATGTTGTTTGCAAAATTAAATAATTGGTTTTTACATTGTCATTATACTAAATGTCTAAGGAAATGATTAAAACACATCTGCAAAGAATATCTTTGCTCTTAGATATATAAACGTGAAGGAAACCTTTTTATGTATTTGTATTACTTTTTTTAATTATAAGTGTATTACTTATTGATTGATTTGTTTTTACAATACAATGTTTTACAATGTTGTAAAGCAACAGGAAAACCCCACACAAAGATTCTCATTATGAAATAAATGTTTTTCTCTAATGCACGTTGGCCACAATTATTGGTACCCTTAGGAATTCGTATGAGTAAAATATCTCTGAAGTATATTCCCATTCATATTTACCATTTTTAGCACACCGGGGTGATTATGAACATGAAATAATCCAGCCATTGCTTCCTGTTTCACAGGATTATAAATGTGAGGGGAAAAAAGGCCAAATTCCCTTAATCATCCATCACAATGAGTAAAACATTGAGAATATAGTTCTGATGTACAGAACAAGATTGTTGAGCTTCACAAATTAGAAAATGGCTTTAAGAAAAGAGCTAGAGCATTGAAAATCCCCATTTCCACCATAAGGGCAATAATTAAGAAGTTCCAATCAACTAAATATGTTACAAATCTGCCTGGAAGAGGAAGGCCCAATCCCAATTCTACCCCTTAGCCCTTCCCCTTTCCTGTGGGTGTCTCAATTCTCTTGTGGTTGGAGGGATAGGGGTAGGGGAAGGGCCAGATAGCCCTTCAAACTAAGATTTTTCTTGACCACACTTCAAACGAAGGGGTATGAATTATCTCAGCGTAAACCGGCTTCAGCAGCAACATGGCTGCCCAAGCGAACAAAAAGACATAAATGTAAGCATTTTTGGCATTAATAAAGATTTTAACGAAAAGTAATCATTTGTTTTATGTTACATTCAATCGTGAGTTCATATTTACCGTCATGTTACTCAAAGAAATGTTTGCAAAAAATCGCTAAAGTTTGCTAACGTCATATCATTACAGACTGCACGATAGTGCCACAACATATTTTCATGTCTGATCAGGACGATAACCACCATAGACACTGAGGGGGCTAGTCCCCCCAATAATTAGAAATCGCTAAACCCTTTTCTTAAATATTGCCAATTCGAGAGAGAGAGAGAGAGAGAGATGAAAGTTGCGTGTATGCACGTCTGTGCGTTTCTCTTTTTAGAGTGAGTTTACTTCAAAAACAGTGATTATATCCTCTCGTTGCTGGAAAATATAACCTAGCGATTCAGTATTTAAACTGTTATTAATAAAAATCGTGGGGCAGCGTTGACAAGTTTCTTTGCTCCTGGATGTGTGAGCTGCTCGATCTCTGATATGTGTGTGTCTCAGTAAGCACCGCATTAATTTAAAATGGTAAATAAAGGCTCTAATGCACACCAGTATAGGTGTGTGTATTGTAGGAGCTAGATGGCATATGATGACGTGTGAAGGTATAACAGTGGTGTCCCAATTCTTAGGGGAATATTTTCACCCCTACCCCTTGACACTCTGTTTCAAGGGACAAGGGGAAGGGGTAGGCGGAGGGGTAGGGGAAGGGGTATAAAATAGAATTGGGATTGGGCCGAAGTGTGTCTATATCATCCTAATGCACGGTGAGGAGGAGAGTTTGAGTGGCTAAAGGCTCTCCAAAGATCACAGCTGGAGAATCGCAGAAATTAGTTGAGTCTTAGGCTCAGAAAGCCTAACAAAAAAAAGTTTTTTTTTGTTTTTTTTTTAAATATCAAACAGCCCCTACATCACCATGTGTTGTTCAGGAAGGTTTCAAGAAAAGAAAAAAAAAAATCAAGAAAACAAAATGCTCTCATCCATAAACGAACTACAGCATATTCATTTGCCAGACACTACTGGAACAGTAAGGACTGAGTTCTATGGTCAGATGAAACTAAAAAAATTGCTTTTTAACAGCAAACACTCAAGATAGGTTTGGTGCACACAGGAGTAAAAAAGTACTCCATGTGTACAGTGAAATATACTGCTGGAACTTTAATGTTGTTGGTGTATGTTTCTGCCGGAGGTCCTGGACATCTTGTTTAGATACATTGCATCATTAATTCTATTAGGGCTGTGCAATATATCAAAATATCACAAATATATATATCGTAATATGCATATCGCTACGGCTTGCAATATTTGGGGCCATGAACAAAAGACAAAGAGAAAATCACTCACTGCTCTTACCTAAATAACTTTTGTAGCTTAAATAAGAATCAGTGCATATTGAATTCATAGAGTAAATACTACGCAGTGTTGTATTTTTCCTTTTTATTATTCAGTTCAGTTCCTAAACTCGTGTTAAAATGATACTTTTATGTAATGCTAGAGTAAAACACTACCGTTCACTTTCAGAAGTTGTTGTAGGGGTGCCTTCTCACAAAAAGTGAAACATGTATGCTAGTTATATTAGAATCAGAATCAGAATGAGCTTTATTCACCACTTAAGTGTGCGCAAACACAAGGAATTTGTTGTGGTTTTACAGAAGCTCTTGATACATACATACATACAAATAACCATATATATATATGACACAAGATAGTTAGAAGTTCACAGAACTGACTCAGCAACAGCGGAGGAAAACGGTTTCATCTGAGCATGTGGCACTTTAAGCATTATCGTATCACATATCGAATATCGCATTATTTAATGAGTTATCGCATATCGCATTTTTCTTCAATATCGCACAGCCCTATCAAATAACAACAGATAAAAAATCTAAACCTGACTGCCTCTGTTAGAAATCTTAAATTGGGCCAAGGCTGGACAAATAATCCAAAACAAAATTGTCTCACTGAGCACAAAACAAATATTCTGCCATGGCCGTCCCAGTCCACTGACCTGAACCCTACAGAAAATGAGTGTGGTGAACTGAAGAGAAGAAGCTGGGAATCTGAAGGATCTGGAGTGATTCTGGATGAAGGAATGGTCTCTGATCTCTTGTAAGGTGTTCTCCAAACTCATCAGGCATTATAGGAGAAAACTCAGAGCTGTTATCTTGGCAAAAGGATGATGCAAAACGTATTGAATAAAAGGGTACCATTAATTGTGGCCTACATGCTTTAGAGAAAAACATTTATTTTATAATGAGATTTCCCCCCCATTTTAAATTCTTATTCTTCAATGAAAGGTTAGATTTTTGTACATTTTTTAAATAAAAGATCAATAGGATTAACAATGCAGATTTATTTGCACAGCCTTTTTTGATCATATTTACCAAGGGTACCAACAATTCTGATCACAACTGTAAAATAAAATTAGTTTTTATTAGATTTCTGTTTTTATTTTTGGTGTTTTTTTGTTTTTTTTCTCGTAACTGTTGCCCTGAAATTTCCCCTAGCAACTAACCTTGCAATCTAAAAGCATTATTTGTCAGATTTCTGGTGATGAAGTTACCTATACGGCTGGCCTCGGTCGTATGACTGCCTCCTTGTTAAGGGAGAAGTGTCATATCCTCTGGACTGCCTTGGGCTGAAACATTAGCATAGAAACTGTGTTACGCTCAAAATACCTGAATAACTGTGAGGAGACAGAATCCAAAATCCTGATTACACCTTGATCCTATAGAACTGAATATAATTTATTCCAGTATGTGAGGCTTGAGCTTGACATTTCCACTCACAAAGTGTGTCCTCTGACAGGCAGGCTGATGGTTCGAGACACCAGCTCTCTGGAGTAGGGCTCTTTGAGGACCAGGCCGTTCTCATGGATCTCCGACAGAGAAGCCAGGGACTTAGTGATGTTCTTAGAGGTGAGGTCCAGAATCGGGCCCAAATACTCAGCTGACACCGCCTTCATTTGTGCAGAGAGCCGAGGCTCAACCTTTGAGAGGAAACGCAGTAAATAATTCTAAATACTACACTGCCACCTGCTGGTTATAACAGAAACGAAGCGCTGCTTTCCAATGCTGCTGTGCCATTTAACATACAGTAGTCATGCCATAAAATATTACTTGATCGAATCTAAGACACAAAGTTTGAGTTTACCTTTATCTTAAAGTCATCTTGACTCGCAGACAACTTCATTTGGGAAAAACTGTAGCAGGGAGTTGAGCGGTGAAGTTCAAATATAGATTTGATAGATTATTTCATCAACATCATGTGTGAATGTACTGTAAGAATGTATTCATACCCGCCCTCTGATGCCTGGCTGAACTCAGACGCATCCTCATCTGTGCTCGCATAGCCATTCTCTGAGTAATATATGAAACAAAATGACAAATTTACAGAAATAACTGCAAAAACACAGAATGTATTTGAAACTGGTTTCACTATAATAATTTGAAGAAATAAAAACCTCTCAGTTCCTTTCAATAATATTACAGTACAGTGTCAGCTACACATACAAAAACGTTTTATTTATAGATATACATATATATATATATATATAATGGTTGTGAAGGGTATCACCGTTGGGATTTAGTTCGTTTGAGTTTTCCCTCTTTTCTTCGCTTTCAAATGGCTTGTAAAAGTGCAGTGCGCATTTTACTTTCACTTTCAAATTAGCGGCAATTGAATTGGCGCAATTCGGCGTTAAGCAATTGTTAGTTTGAGTTCTCCCTATTTTCCTCAGATTTCTTGGCTTTCAAATAGCTAGAAAAAGCGCCGTGCACGTTTTACTTTCACCTTCAAATTAGCGGCAATTCGGCGTTGATTCAATTCAAGCAACAACAAGGTCAAACTCATAGAACTTTTATTAACAAAACGAATAAAAATACACCATATATGCCTAATAAAATAACAAATTACTTAGGCGACACAAAGTTTAAATAGGTATATAAAACATCTCCGTGAAGTTGGCACCCCATAAAAAGAAATACTCACCAAAACTATGCCATTCGTTTGTGCTACGTTTGTGCTGATTTGTGCCGCAAAAACGAACATTTGTGCTGGTTTGGTGTTTAAGATATTAAACGTTATTTTTTTGACCGTGTGACGTCACTCTCCACCCCATGTTGCCAAAATCGCTCCAAACCAGCGCGGTTCGTTTGTGCTCGATTTGTGCCCGTTTGTGCCGTCAAAACAAACACTGCATCTATTTTCCTTCCTTAGATATAACCAAAATATTTTCGGGAGCTGTGACGCCACTCTCCACCCCAGTTCGTCTAAATCGCACAAAACTGGTGTCATTCGTTTGTGCTCGATTTGTGCCATTAAAAGAAACAATGTAACCATGACCTCTTCTTAAATATAACGGGAACTTTACTCTCCACCCCGTTTAGCGCGGCCGCAGAGTTAAAAAAATAGTGTTTGTGCTGCCTTAAAATTTTAAGTTTAGTCAGCTCCAAGTTTTCACTAACTTCATATTTCAAGTTGACTAAGCTTAAATTTCAAGGCAGCATTAAGTTGAAACAATTAAGCATTAAGTTTTTTATTTTTTTTATATATATATATATTTTTTTTACAGTGAGTCTAAATAGTTCCAATTCATTTGTGCTCGATTTGTGCCGTTAGAATATTAAACACCTAGGCCTATTCCCCATGAATATTTGTTCATATTAATTAATCAGCACAAACACTTTTTTTTAACTCTGAGCCCGCGCTAAACGGGGTGGAGAGTAAAGTTCCCGTTATATTTAAGAAGAGGTCATGGTTACATTGTTTCTTTTAACGGCACAAATCAGCACAGGTCGAGCACAAATGAACGCCACCGGTTTGGAGGGATTTGGACAGCATGCGGTGGAGAGTTTGTATTTGTTATTTCTGAGGACGGGAAATAGATACAATGTTGGTATATACACCTTGATGTAAAATAAAATAAAATACACAAAGTTGAAATAAAGTAATCAGCAAACACTGTGGAACCAAATAAATAAGAAACGAATGTTTAAAAAAAACTTCCAGTCAACAGGCTTTTCAAAATCTAAAATATTGCCAAACGGGCACCTTTGCATTTCCTTTCTAAACAATCTTCGGCCATCGTCTTGTCTTTCTCACCTCACTCTTGTCAGTCAACTCTCCTCACGTGATGAATAAAATCTGACTCCTGCTCCGTGGTGCACTGTTGTTCGCGCACGGTTCGGCACGCTGCATTGAGCATTTAGATTTTAAGCGTCTGTCCTCTAACTGAACTAGGCTAAATTATTTTTGTTACTTAAAAATATCTAAACGACGGTGGGGAGGCGGTGCCGCAGTAGGCAAATTACATAACTGGTGTTGCGGCTTAACACCGGTATAACCGAAAACACCATCTATCGCAGCAAGTCTAATATATATACACATATACACACACTCACCTTGCTGGACATTGTGGATTAGAGCTTGTAGCTCAGGGATACACTCCGCCTTTTCCCTTAGAGCATCAAGGATCATGTGATTTTGGGAAGAGCCGATCACATCCGTCTGCCGCAGCTGACCTTCCAGCAGGCGAATTTGAGCCTCTTTTTGAGCAACTTGCAACCCCTATATACACAAACACATTTTTTTTTTTTTTTGTATTTTTGAATGAAGTCTCTTTTTGCCCACCAATGCTGGATTTATTTGATTACAAATACAGAAAAAACTGTAATATTGTGAAATATCATTACAATATAAAGAACTTTTTAAAATATATTTCAAAACCTAATTCATCCCTGTGACTGAAAAACTGAATTTCCAGCAGCCTTTACTTGAGTCCTCAGTGTAACATGATCCTTCAGAAATCATTCTAATATGAAACATTTGTCGTTATTATTATCTACGTTGAAAACAGTTGTGCTGCTTTTTGTGGGAACCGTGAAACAACTTTTCAAGATTCTTTGATGAATAGAGAGATCAGCATATATTTGAAATATAACTAGTGTGTAACATTATAAATACCTTCACTGTCACTTTTAATCTATTTAAAGGGATAGTTCACCCAAAAATGTTAATTACCCCATGATTTACTCACCCTCAAGCCATCCTAGCTGTATATGACTTTCTTCTTTCAGACGAATACAATCAGAGTTATATTAAAAAATGTCCTGGCTCTTCCAAGCTTTATAATGACAGTGAATGTGTGTTTTTTTTCTTCTCAATAGTCCTATTGACCTAATGAATTCTTTTAATCTGTGCATTTACTTACTCTGGATGACCCTAAATCACAACAACTGACAATTTTGTTGGATTTGTCTGTCCGGACTTGCCTTGTCAATAGAGGCTTTGAGGAAGTAGTCCAGGAGAGCACGAGCTTCGGCCAGCGAGCAGGAGCTGATGACCACTGAGGTGTCCACTGAGTCCAGCTCATCCTAAAGTAAACAATAACAAAAACACTTATGTGAATACCAGTGACTCACTACATATACGGTGAGCGAGCAGTCACTTATGAGATGCCCTTTACCTTGGTCTCCTCGATCTGTACGATGGTGGCCTGGCAGTCTGACAGACTATCACTGATGTAGTCGATGTTAGCATTGAGCACATCAATCTCCTCGTTCATCTCCTGAAGGAGCCTCTCCTCCTCATCCTCTCTGAAGCCCTCGTTCAGTAACTTTTCTCTCTTGCGCAACAGCGCCTCCTGTTGCACGGACAGCTCCTCACGTTTCTGGAAGTGTCATTGAGACATATTATTTAATCGAGTTCACAATCCTTCTTTATTGCTGAACTGTTCCATTGTTAAACACACAAATCATTAATTTAAAAAACCAAGCTATAGAGCAAAAAATGCACAGGGTTTCAGGAAGATCACTAATGCACTTTGATATGTAACATGTAGAATACAAGAAAAAGAAATGCAACAATCACCTTAATGAGGCGATCCATATCAGCTTCCACATTAGTGATGGTCATTCTCTGCATCACAATATCCATGATCCTCCTCTCCAGAGACTGCCACTTCTGACGGGCTGTCTTTGAAAAACTCGTGCTCGTACTCTTTCGCTGGAACTTTTTTCTGCTACAAATATCGATATATACACACAGTGTATAGCCTACAGTTGTGAACATATTTTTTTTAATGAATGTCACCTAACAGATTTAAGACTAACCATTAAATTAAAGATTTCTTAGAATAACCTTTAAAACAAAATAAAATGAAAATAAAATTGTGCATTTAACGTCCATAATGTGACATTTCTGACTAAAAAAAACACTGTAAAAATATTGTAATAATCCAAGAAGATTTGTTTTGATTGATATAATTGGTTATAATTATTTTATTATCATAAAAATATGTTTTTATTTATAACTAATTACGTATAAATGTGACGGTAAAGACATTTATGTTACAAAAGATTTCGATTTCAAATAAATGTTCTTTAGAACTTTATATCCAAAGAATTCAAAAAGCGGGAAAACATTCTCTGATGATGATAAACTATTCTTGAGCAAAACCATCATATTAGACTGATTTCTGAAGGATCATTTGACACTGAAGAATGGAGTAATGATGCTGAAAATCTTCTTTGCATCTTTGTAATAAATTACATTTGAAAATATTTGAAAATAGAAAACAGCTATTTTCAACTGTAATTATATTTCCCAATTTTATTGTTTTTGTTTTTCATCAAATAAATTCAGCCTTGGTGAGCATAAGAGACTTCCTTCAAAAGCATTCATCGAGTCACTGCTGCATCTAATAATCTGACCTGGCCAGGTTTCCTCCGGTCCCGTGGCTCTCATTCTCTCCCAGGTATCCATTCAGTTTGGTATTCCAATGGCGTATGATTTTGGAAACCGAGCGAGTGGATTCCAGTTCGGAGGAGGTTGTTGTGGTAGCGGTGGACAGCTCTGCTAAGGAGTCCAAACGGGTGAGTCTGCGGGCCACACGTCCGGCCACACGCTCCGACATGGGCTTGGCCAGCCGCCTCAGCGCCGTCACCTCCTGGGTCTTCCTCCGCAGCACGATCTCCTGCTGGTGCTTCTGCGACTCCAGAGCTCGGATCTGATACTAATAGAGCACAGAGATCGGGAGTAAATAATACTTTATACTCTGTGATATACAAGTGGTAGCACTCATTTTTAATTGTTCATCAGCCAAACCTCTTGTCGTCGCTGCTCTTTCTTCAGTTGCGCGATTTCTCTGTTCCTCTTGGCCTCGATCATCCTCCTCCTCTGCTGCTCCTCCTTCATCTGCTTCATTAGCGCCACCTAGAGATGGAATGACCAACAAGCACTGTGAGAAACAACTTGATGCAGTGTCAGTAAAAAAATTAAAAATACAATGTTCCAGTTCACATGATATTTGTCAAACAAAAATTATTTTTTTAGAATTAATGTGTCCCAAATTATAGTACATTTCATTATTTTGAATTCTTAATTCAATTTTGTGAACATGTTTCTTACTTTTTGCCAGGATTATTAAATAAGTGAAAATAGAGGTGTTAAAATGTGTGGCTGTATTTGTTTCTGGTTCATTCGTCACACTGGAAAGAAACGGCCAAGTCAAGGCTGCATTTGTTTGAAAAAAAAAAAAAAAAAAACAGTAAACACAGTAATATTGTGAAAAGTTATTACAAATTAAAACAACTGTTTTCTTTTTTAATATATGTTTTTATGTAATTTATTCTTGTGATACAAAGATGAATTTTCAGCATCATTACTCCAGTCTTCAGTGTCACATGATCCTTCAGAAATCATTCTAATATACTAATTTGCTCAAACAACATATCATTATTATTATTATTATATTCTTTTTATTATCAATGTTGAAAACAGTTGTGCTGCTTAATATTTTTTGAGGAAGCCATGAGATTTTTTTTTTAGAATTATTTGATAAACAAAAAAATATTTTGAATTAGCTATTATTTTTTAGATTTTCCATTTTCAATTTATTTTAAAGTTTTTGTGATTTTATTGTTTTTTTTGTCATTTTATTCCTGTCATTTTATATATATATTTATATATTTTTATTTATATAAAAAATATATAAGAACAGATATACATTTACACACACACATATACAGTATATATATATATATATATATATGCAGGTGCATCTCAATAAATTAGAATGTCGTGGAAAAGTTAATTTATTTCAGTAATTCAACTCAAATTGTGAAACTCGTGTATTAAATAAATTCAATGCACACAGACTGAAGTAGTTTAAGTCTTTGGTTAACAAAAGACTTAAACTACTATTTAACAAAAACCCACCAATTCACTCTCAACAAATTAGAATATGGTGACATGCCAATCAGCTAATCAACTCAAAACACCTGCAAAGGTTTCCTGAGCCTTCAGTTTGGTTCACTAGGCTACACAATCATGGAGAAGACTGCTGATCTGACAGTTGTCCAGAAGACAATCATTGACACCCTTCACAAGGAGGGTAAGCCACAAACAATCATTGCCTATATATATATATATATATATGTCTACATAGTTTTTTGTATACATTTTTATTTCAGCTTTAATTTTAGTTATTTTGGTACATCAAGTTAAACTAGCTGAAATTAAAAAAAATCGCTTTATTTTACTTCAGTTAAAGTTTATCTTAATAAATTTTATTTATTATTTTACTTTTTCAGTTTTAGTTTTACTTAACTCTAATAACCCTGCCCCAAACTTTTGAACATTAGTCTCTGTGTGTGTATTATTATGTGTTTTCCAGTACTGGTACATCTCACAACACACTCAAAAGCAAGCACTTTCCACACTACCAGCATACATACTTTTATGCAAACTGGGACACAGTCTGTGCCTGAGGAATCAGCTACTTTCATCAAAAAAAATACAAAATAAAAAATTCCACACTCATGGGAAAATTTGTGCTTTAATTACCTTCTTAAAATAAAAGGTTTGCACTGTAAATGTCTTCATTCTCAATTACAGTCAATTATCTCTACAGCTGATGAAACCAACTAAATGTTTAGCTGTTTTTCTCCTAATGTATTTCTAGAAATCAAGCTCCAGCTCTCACCTTAGCTTTCTTCATCTCGGCCACCTCAGACTGCAGTTTCTTGAGCTCTCTCTCGTAGCGGCTCTGGTTCTTCAGCAGACGCGCGTGCTCCTTCTGAGCGGCCTGCAGCTTCAGCAGGTCTCGGTTCATCTCCTTCAGACGCTTCTCATAATCAGATTTGATCTTACTGGCTTTCTCTTCAGTGTAGTTCTCCATGGACACTAAAGTCACAAAGAAAATGATGGAAGAATTGTTTACTGGGGAAATTATTAAAGTGCCTTAAAGGGTTGGCTCACACCAAAAAAAAATCTGTCATCATTTTCTCACCCTCATGTCTTTCCAAACCCACAAGAAATTCATTCAGCTTCATAACACTCCTGTAAATGATGACCGGATTTTCATTTCAAGGTGAACTAACCCATTAAAACACCTATTTATAGACTTTTGGGCCTTTTGCCTTGGAAAAATACCAGAAATACATCACAAACAATGAAAACGGTGTCTCCACAAATGGATGTGAAGCTGGCAGATGCTCACTGAGGTTGTGCAGCACGCGGTCTCTCTCCAGCTGCGTGTCTCTGATCTTGTTCTGGAGCAGAATCAGTTTCTCCTCGTACTGGCTCTTCAGCATCAGGAGCCGCCGCTGGCTGTTCTCCAGCTCATCGATGAGTCTTTGCTTGATCTCGATCTCACACGTCAGGTCCGCCAGATCGGCCTGTAAGCTGACTGAGAGATGAGGAGCCACGGGTTAAAAGGGAATAAAAGGGGCTGACTGTACGTTTGTAATAAAAGCATCTCAGAATGCACCTTTCTCATCTGAGTCAGAGTCAGAATCCACCAGGCTCTCGTCACTGTCGAACTCCTCCTCCTCCTCCTCCTCCTCCTCCTCCCTGGTCTCCTCTTCATCACAGCCGTGATCGTCCTCCTGAAGAGGATACATGCCATCCTGCACAGGGTGAAGGACATCAAACCTTAAGACCTTCTTTCATACATACATAAATTTTTTTTTTTATATAATTATGCTACGTCATCCATCAGTGTTTTTATGTGCTATATAACAACTTTATTTCTGTGATTGTATTATTTTATTCTTATAAAACAGTACCATATAACCTTTTTTTCTTTTTAATATTAAGACTTATTAGAAATGTATTCTTGCAATAACTTAATTTATGCAGCACAGCTTAATTACTACTTTATGACATTTTTCCTGCAATAAGATTTTATTCTTTAAACTTAATTGTTAAGTTTAAAGATATCAAACTTATAAACTTAAAAAATATATATTTTTTCTTGTTTTTATATTCATAAAAAATAGCAAACAAATCTTTATTGCAACATAGTTTTTTTCTCTCATATTAAAACCTCGCTGCTGTAAAATGTTATTCTTGCAATGTTGCAATTTTAAGACTTAAAAATTAAGACTTGATTCGTGTCGTTTTTGAATTTTATTTTTATTAATCACTGTCTGCAATGTGTAATTTATATAATATACAACTTTATTCACATAATTTCTTCTTTATTCACACTTTATTCTTGCAAAGTTATGACTCTATTTTCTCAAAACATTTCAAATTCATTCTCAAACTTTTTCCTCAGAATATATGACTTTTTTTGAACTTTGTAACCAGCAGACCAGTCGTTACAAAACTCTTTTCTCTCACCCCTTCAGGTTCATTATCAGAGTCTCCATCTCCATTTTCTCGTCTCTCTTCATTTTCCCTGCTCAGCCCGTTCTCGCCCTTTTCTCCATTTTCCTGAGAATAAAGCTTGGCTCTCTTCTTCAGACCTTTTTCTTTCTCAGGACTAAAAATGAGACAAACTATTATTACATTTCCTATAGACGGATGCATACATAAATACAGCACTGATGCAATCAATTGGACATTCATCACACAATCTCACACAGGAGTTTGCACACAAAAAAATAAGGGACCGGGCCACAATTCCACCAATATCTGATGCAAACTTCATTTAATAGTCATGTAATTGCACCACGGGGACTCATGCAGTGCAGAGATTTATCCTGGGTCTTCTGCTTTTTAGCATTTGCAGGTCAGCTGAGACTTCCAGTGTAATGTTGGGTTCACAAATTACCCATGGCCTCTCTCCCGTGAAGAGCGGGACGCTCCTGTAGTCATATTCATTATAGCGGACAATTTACTGAGAGATACTTGTATCTGTGCCAGCTTGCTGTCCTTAGTTTGAGTTGGTCAGGACATCCTGGCACAAATAGAGATAAATCTAATTCTGGCACATTTTACAGCCTCTTATTGGCTCAGTAACATAAAACAGCAGAGGACAAGCATATTAAAGTCTCTCAAATACACAATCAGTGGAACATGTTCCGAGAACTCTGCTAACATCAGAGGAGACTGCCAGACACATAGACAAGAAGTGTCAAGACCACCTGGAGCAGGGTCTCCAATTTAATCACTTATTTAACTACATATTTAATAGCATTAATTAATTCGTACATGCTGTGGATATTGTAGTCTGACAATATCATTTCATTTTAGATGTGACCTTAAAACGTTCAAAAATACATTTTCATAAGTGAAAATCAATCAATATTTTTCGGATCTTCCATGGAGTATGTGGATTTATTAAGGTCAACATGAAAATGAAATATAATTTTTAAATCATTTTTTCAAGAAAATTTTAGCAGAATAAATAAATGGGGGGAAAAAACAGAACACAAGAATAAAATAAATAAATATATAAAAGAATAAAACTAAAAATCAATAATACATAAGAGAATAAACAATGCATTAAAAGAATAAAAACATGAAATAATGAATAATATAAAATAGTACAAAAATATAATATAAGTAAGCATAAAATAATAATATAAAAATGCATGAAAGAAAAGTTAATAAAATAAAAATAAAGAATCAAAAGAATAAAATAAAAATTATTAAATGCATACAAAAATAAAGTAAATGAATAAATAATCTATAAAATAATCTATAAAAAAGAATAAATAAAAGAATAAAATAAATAAATGCATTCATAAATAAAATAAAATCAATAAACAAACAAACAAACATGCTCCTCAGACCTCACCTCTTCCTCCTCTGATTTGTCTCTTTCTTCTTCAGCCTCTCCACATCTAACTTGGCATGACGAATCACATCTGTCATCTCTGCATCCATGGAAACAGAGGGGGAGGAGCCGAGAGGGAGTGCTGGAGTAGACGGGTGGGAGGCTGGGTATGGAGAGCGGGCGGAGAGGCGAGACAAACTGCGCCTCAGAGACTCGTTCATGGCCTCACTCTCCAGCAGCTTAGACCTGAGAGACAGACAGATGAGTCGCTCTTTTCTATTGCTTTGAGGAGAAGTTGTCATGAGCAGAACATCATGTTACCTCAGCTCTTCGATTTCTCGAATGTAGTTCTGGATTAGATTGCCAATCTCCTCGTTCGTTTCACCTGTTCAAAGAGTGACAGATTTATTCAGCAATAATGAAATGACAAGAAGTATTGATGTTTGTTTGTTCGTTTTTTAACACCATGCCAGCTTCCTTGACTATTTTCAAGATGAAAACTATATTTGAGTAATTAAAATAGAAAATTGAAAATTTGAAACTAAAGACAATTTTTGGAAAAACCTTTTCAAGGGTATTAACAGAATAAAACAATTTTCCAAGAGAAGTAGAAACATTACATTCCCAAGAAATAATAACTGTGGCCAACTAAACTAGTTAATTAAACTTGGTTACACGCAGGTTAACTAATACACCGTGATAGTTTGAGAATTTACTACTGCTAATTATTATAGCTAGTTCATTTAGAGTAATATATATATATAAATTTTAAATTTTTCACTCTTTGTTATATTGCAGCCATTTGCTAAAATCATTTAAGTTCATTTTTTTTCCTCATTAATGTACACACAGCA